GCCAAATAATTATAGGCGTAAATGTTACCTCAGTGGTGGGCATAATGAAAAGGTAAATATTGGAGGGACTAACTTCCTCAGAATGTCTAGTATTTCTTCTTCGGCTTCCTTTAGCAACCTATAATATAGTTCACACACTCCTGAAGGTTTATCCACCACTCTGGAGAGACAGAGACAAAATATTTACTTAGAACCCTGTCCACATCTTCTGCACGAGTTACTGTGTACATGAGGTAGGTTTTCTGGAGCATCCTAAGGAGGAAAGTGTGCTAAAGAGGCAAGTGGGGGATATTCCAGAATTCAGGGCCAAAATAACTGAAGGCAAGGTCACCAATAATTAAACTTGAAGAAACACAAGAAACTAAAATTAGATGAATGCAGTTATTTTGGAATGTTGTACAGTTGGACAAAATTACACAGATAGGAGGAACAAGGCCATGGAGTCACTTCAAAACAAGGACGAGAATTTTAAAATCAAGTTGTTGCTCAATCACAAGCCAAAGTAGATCAGCAAGCATAGGAACAGTGGGTGAATCAAACTTCGTGTGAGTTAGCAAAAAAGACAGTTGAGTTTTCGATGACTTCAAGTTTAATCCTTAATTAGGTTAGTTTAATTAAAACAGAACATGATAGATAAACCAAGAATATGCTGAAATAGTCAAATCCTTTTGAATGAAAATTTCAGCAGCAGATGAGCTGAGATAGGAGATGATAGTACAGTGTTTTAAATGCGCAGTCTTAGTAACAGCACAAAAATGATATATGAGATCAAGGTTGCAAACAATCTGGTTTAGTCTCAGACAGTTGCCGGAGGGGATGAAGTTGGTATGTTATTGAATGCAGTTTGGAACAGAAACTGAAAACAATAGTTTTTGTCTTCCCAAGATTTTTGGTGAAAATTTCTGCTTACCCTGTAATTTATGCCAAATCAGCAATCTGTTAATTCAGCAAAAATTTCAGAGTTTAGCGAATTGGTGAAATAGTAGTGGGTATTGTCAACATGAGTTGAAACCTAATACTGAGCTTTCAGATGATATTTCTGAGGAACAGCTTGTAGATAAAAGATGGGTAGAACTGAAGATAGATTTTGGAATATATAAAAATAATCCAAGTAAGTGAAGCATTTCCAAGAGACACTTGTGCCACCACAATATAACAATTTTGTTTAAAATTCAGTTACAGAATTGGGCATATCTGACTAGGTCAGCATTTATTGCCCATCCCTCATTGTCCAGAGGCCCATTGCTGTGGATCAGGAGTCACATGTAGGCCAGACCCAATAAGGATGACAGATTTCCTTCCCTAAAGGACATTAATAAATCAGATAGATTTTTACAACAATTGATGGTGGTTTCATGGTTATTATTAGACCTTCTTAATTGATTTCAGATTCCACTATTTGCTGTGGCAGGATTTGAACCCGGTTCCCCAAACTATTACCTGAGTCTCTGGATTAATAGTCTAGTAATAATACTATTAGGTCATTGAGACAGAAGTGCAAAACAATGTGCTGCTTAGCTAATAAAGTAAACAGCTTGTGAGGACTTGTTTTTTTTACATTTGGAGCAATAAAAGCAGCCTGAATGGATAGGGTCAGTTCCACAGTTGCTGGGGTCTTGAAGCTGAGTTTGGAAGCCGCAGTGCATCTCTCCCTGCTACTCTTTCTCAGAGTTTTCTCTTGATGTATTTTCCTCCTGGACTAGAGAATTGCCTGTGAGACAATCTATTTTATTGAATTTGTCTTTGCCAAGGGTGTGTTGATGGGATGTTACTGTTATTGTTCAGTAGTTAAATAATCTATTATTCTATTAAATTGTTATTCCAATTTCTTCTTTCTGTTGTTGAATTTTAACGATAGTGTATGAATAATGTGTGTTTTGCTTCAAGATTGGTCGTTTGACCAATTGAATTGCGTCTGGAATGAAACGCCTGGGACTTGACGTTAAAATAAGAAAGGTTAGGATCTAGGCTATCTTCTTAATATATTTTGAGGAGGGTTGGTCTGGTTGATAACGTTTGGAAACAACGGAAACCCAGTAGCCTTCTCAAAAATGGCACTACAGGAAGGGTGTATAATCAAAGAGGACAAATCCAAGACTAGGTGGTCTGAATCATTATGTTGAATAGAGTGTGAAACAGATTGTGAGGCCTTAAAAGGGCAGCTGCAGCAGTGAAGCCTGAGCAGCTTCACCATTCCAATGGCCATTGAGAGACAATGACATGAACTTGGTAAAGAAGGTGGATCACTCCATCGTCAGCAGTAATAAGGATGGAACCAAAAGATGGCAGGGAGGAACAGACGCAGCAACAGCTCCAACCCTGGCCATGGCCTCCTGGGTCCAGGAAGAGCCCCTGTCTGGGCTGTGCAGTGCATGGAGATGCTGGGCTACAAGGTGAGCATAGCGAAGGAACGGTGGCCAAGGAGACTGGGGCAGGGAGGGTCCACTAAATCAGCCTCACCCTGCACTTCCACCTGCTCCCTAGACTGCAGCCCACCCATTTGCACTCTGGTGATGTCTGGGATGTCAACATTAGCGACCTGTTGTGGCCAGGTGACTTCACTGACAGCACCTGCACATGCTTGTGGTATTATGGATCATCACTCTGATTTAGTTAGCATTGACAGTTTCAGAGATTTCACATCTTCAGTAAAGTGCCAATTTATAATTAGTTGCTGCTTCCTCTACTCACATAGTGACACAGAGAGCACACCCTCTTCCAATACAGTGACATTTTTCCATTTTATACAGAAACCCACTCTAAGTAACATTTCCAAGTTGCTTCCAAATTAGAAATTAAAATTTGA